TAAACAAAAAAGAACACCCCACAAAAAAATTAATTCCTATTTTTATGTGAATGAGCAAATCCTATCAAAAACTGGACAAGCCTTTTAAAATACAGCATCTGCTAACCTGTTTCATTCAGCTACATCCCACCTCTCATACATTTCCCCAAACCTGCATTCATCAATATGTTAAACAATCACACAGGAAGAACGGGGTATCATGTGATGGGAGAACATAGGAAAACAGGAAAAATCAGGCACTCTGTCAAAGTTCACACCAAAAATATGTAGCATTCTGAAAGTAACTCAAGCTGTGCTTTTAATGATAAATTAAACTGTAGCATATTTTGCACAATTTTAAAATAAAATCTCTTAAAATTGGGTGGGGAAAAAAAAAAAGGTACTCATAGAACATTGTCTCAGTTCAGAAAATATATGAAGAATATGTAAGCAGAGAAAGTAGAAGAGGCAATGCTTGAGCATATCTAGCAATACAGCAAGACTAACAATGAAAAATGTAAAAAAAAAAAAAAACAATGTTACCCAAGGTCTTGAATAGAAGTTTCACAGCTCCGAGAACTGTCCCCTGAGCCCATACGCCGCCGTTTGGATGGTTGGCTACCATCATTGGAATTTTCTTCTGTATCATCCTGAAATGAAAATAAAAACGAATATTAAAGGTATTGAACTGACAACCAAAAATACCAGAAAAAAAAAATGAAAATATATGGTCAAGCACTCCATTTAAATAAGCCAAACTATTAAAAAAAAAAAAAAAGAAAAAAACACCTCTGTACAAACAACTCACAGAGCAGTTTTCACAGCACAGCATTCTGTCTTATTACCCTAGCCAAACTCCACAGAGAAGCATGGAAAAAGAAGCGGGTGGCTTCCTACCTTGCCCACCGTGGCATAGGTAAAAGGGACCAAGCAGTGGCTCTGACCACAAAGTCCGTCATTCCTGATGCCATGGATGGAAACTACCCAGACGGCATCAGCACGGCCAGGCAGCTGCAGACCCAGCAAACACCAGGCACAGTCAGTGAGCACAGTCGGTGAAGGCCAGGCCTCACTTGACACGTCTTGCTCTCACAAACAACAGCAAGGACGAGGCAAAAAGACCAAAACAAACAACTGGTAAAATCTGGCAGGCCACTGATTTCATTGACCTTCATGTGCTCTTCACTGCTTTGTCTAATAACACCAGACAAGAAAAGCACAAGTCTGATGTAATGCTCAATCTCGATAAATCTCAAAGCATTTACAAATGAGAAACAGAGGGCAGAAGTGTTCAGTGACTCACCCTATTCTTACTTGCAGCAGAGCCTCCAACAAAATAGCACTTTAAGTAACAGAAATTCTAAAGAAAGTGTAGTAGTATGAAAATATAATGTTTCATGAGTTCTGTGAAATTTAGGATAGAAGCATTAACCTGTCAGAAACAGATCCGCCCACAGCTACTGAATTATGGCAAAAAGAGTTATTAGGTCTTCCTCAGCAAATGTCTTTCCTTCTGCTATGTTTTAATGTACACTCTTAACACTTGAAATATTATTGCTGTAAAGAATTCTAGCAAATTAGAAGACATTACTTCTGTTACATAACATTTCAGAGTATAGCCAAGATAAGCCTCAGAGAAAAGATACCCATCTGTCTCCCGTATTTTTAGTTTATTCACTGTATTTCACAGCTCTTTACATGAGAAGTGTGATCCTCCTTGTGAGCAGGAGGAAAATCACACAGGGAGAGCAAAAATAAAAGCAGGTTTAAACAAGCTCTGCTTCCTTAATGAAGTTATACTTACAGAGCCACGTATGTGGCATCTGCACAAGTATTAGCAATAACACTATTTCCTAGCATCGCTAAAATCCCATGTAAACTCAAATGGCAGCACCCAACCAAAACATCACGCAGGAGAGGGTTTTTGTGACATTGCTCTGTCACCAGCAGCTCAGCCCTATGTCCCACATGTAAAACTACTGCTCTCCAAACTTCCTCAGATGCACTGACAAGATTCAAAGAGCCCAAGCTACGCTCCTCTAGCAGACCTCAGGACGTTTTAAAAAGCTCCGTGCACAGCGACTGCGAGGAAGTGCCTGGCATCAGCTTCTCCTTCTGCTTTGACATTGATTAAATTCAGTATTGCTAAAACAACCCCAGTGCCGTACGCTCGGATCACAGAAGGGACAGTCGCCCTGCACCGCCACATCCGCTCTCCGACCTGCGGGAAGCTCCAGCCACCTCCGTCCCGCGGTCAGGAAGGGCAGGAGCTCCAACACTTGGCTGCAGAGCACTCTGCACAAAAAGCGAGGACAACCACAACACAGTCTTGAGTTTGTCCTGCACTGACAGGACAGTAAAGGACGGCCTTAGGAGTATTTTTACTGAAAAAGTAAACTAGAAGGCCAGGAGAAAGGCCCATTCGGCACTGAGAAATGCAGGTTCAGGTAAGAGAAACACTGGTGCGTGGATACTTATGAAGCAGGACACCGCGCAACGCTCCGGGCTGAGGCCCTCCTGCTAACACGCAGCAGCGAATCCAAGCGACAGCACTTCAAGCAACACGCGGGGAAACCCCGGGTTAACGATTTATCCGAGGAAACGGCGGCC